CAAGAAGTATTTTTGTACATATTTTGAAATTCCATTCACAATCAGCATCGCTTTGGAGGCTTGTCATGTTAATTTAGAGAATTTGAATTCTCTGCTCTTTGACTTGAAGTTGATGTGGAATTTAAAGTATTCACTGCAAGTGCATCGTGGCATTCTATTTGCCAAGCAAATGGATTCCGCCTTTGACGCTATTTTCGGGCGCAACGGAAATTGTGCTTCCTGTTTGCCATTGAACCCTTTTTTCTGTGGGCGGGCGCTGTAGACCGAAGGACGAGGACGAAGATGCGGACAAGGTTTTGAGTCCTAACACGAGATGAGCAGAGCTTTGGCCCTCGTTTCTGGTATTCGCTTGATTTGTCTTTGCAGTTTTTTTTTTTTTTTTTTTTTTTTGCATTATGTTGGAGCGGTTGTTGCTGTTGTATCTCGAGTCTTTTGGCGGCCGTTGCACATGTGGCGCGTATTCAGGTATTTCCCCACGGTCTATTTTTAGAAAATCCAGTTTTTTGGCAGCACCAACACAGCAGCGGCAGCTCCCAAGTCTGCTTTGCATGGAAGCGAGACTGCGACACCGACTTGCACCAGAGATTGCTGGCTTCTCCACTCATAACTCCGTCGCTCATAAATGTTTCGCGGCCGTTTCCTTTTCCACAGAGTTCAGGCTGAATTTTTTGGCAACGACCTCAAAAGTCACTGCTACTAGCCCTTCACTTTCACACGACCCAAAATTGTAGCCGAGGCAGCTGGACCCGCTCCCCAGAAATGGGCAGGCCCAGTCACTGCCCCTCACCTTTCCCTCGTGGGTCCTGCCTCCTCTCCCTCTCTCTACACTTGAAGAATTAAAACTCTGAATGCCGCAATTATTTGTGCTTAATCGAACTAACCATCAGATTTATACTGATTGCCAAACACCAAAGGAAAACACTTGATATTAATAGGGAGTACATTTCTTTGACTGTACATTTTCAAGTCTGTTACTCTATGGTGTTTTGGGCTGTGCCTTGCTTGTTAAATGCCAAAGCTGCCGTCATGCGTTGTCTCCTTTTACGGCCAGAAAAACGGCGCCTCAAGGAAAGGGGATTCAAGGAAAGGGGGACTGGAGCTCAAGCTGGAGTTAAAGCTGCAACTGAAGCTGAAGTGGATGGTGCTGTTAAGGCCATGGCATGCAAGGAGCCATTCTACGGAGGAAGGAGCCGCAGACAACACACACAGCCCGTCACCCATCGTCATCATCATTATCATCAGCGACGCTTTGGCCGCTTTGAAAGTGAAATTTGTATCTGTAACACATGTGATAACAATGTGCCGCCATATGCACCTCATTCCGCGTTAACCATTTCTCAGTGCGAGTGAGAATGGTTTTAAAGACCCATTGGGGGAAATCAGATTGAGGCTTATTATTATTGTTAAGCGAAGAAGTCAAAAAGTTGACTAATTAAAGTAGTCCTTGGTTTGGAACTAATTCGAGGTAAGGGAAAACGTTCCTTGATCAAATTCAAATTAAATTTAAATAAAGCTCCCCCTTTTACATTCAGATGCAGGCATGTGCCTAATATGGCTACACTTCAAGGGACTGCCTTTTTTTGTTTTCAATTTAAACTTGAAGTCACATTTACTCATGGTTGGTAGTCGATTTTAGTATGATTTACCAGCTTGCAACCAAGAACTCTTCGGAATGATACCGGTTCGGACAGCCCGAAAAAAAGAATCAAATGCAGAACTTCAATTCATCCCTGAGTAGATGAGACTTTAAATATTTTAGCTGAAATCATCAATAGAGTTTCCCTCAAACTATGCTGCTTTTTTTTATTATCAACTTTTTTCCGTACCCAACAATTTCAGCACTGTATCGGAACCTTTTCTTCGTTCCTCATGAAGAAGTAACCTTGTTTGCCTCATTTGGTTTTCGTTTGTTTGGCGCCCATGAAATTGTTATTGTTACTGAGTTCCGTTTCAATTTCATTCAACAATTGTACACTGTTGGTATTTGGCTATACATGCCTGATTTCAATTCGAATCACGGACCTCCCCATTAACATAGTTGTAGAGAAGATACATATTTGCAACAGTTGAACTGTTCGCTTGCGTTGTAATTTGATTGAACCGACGAAGGACGACGATCTGGTAAATGTATTAGGCCTCTTTTCAGGTCTATAATTCGTGCACTCAGAGAAATATAATGTTATGCTACTACATATACTTATGTCGAAACCTTGGTTTTCTCATAAGAATACAACATAAAACACCTAATATTAAATAGGTTTCAGGGGAAATAAACTATTTATTTTTAATGCCACATATCTCAATTTGCTTATAAATGGATATCAACTTGTTAGTGCTATATTTTCCGCTTACTGACGTGGCCCTACACATATATTACTCTCCACTCATGACTACCTCTGTGTGCCATAGGCAATGCAATCACGTCGCCTGACATGAGCTGTGCGCTTTCCAACCCCCATCGCCCCAACTGCCAAATCTCCATCGGACTCGGTTTTCATGGCATGTCCTTGTGGCTACGGCGCTATGGCAATGACCAGACCAAGACGGCCATTCATTTTTCATATCCGTTTGACAGGACGCTCCCATCCACTGCCACTTTGGCTTCATCGATGAAGCGTACACTTTAAAGACGTCTTCTTCCTTCATGTTCCTTATTTCTAATTAGAAATTATACTTCCCCGGCAACTTGAGCTCAAAGGGCGATGAAACCAAATTACTCATTTGGGCCCAATAATCGACTAATGGTAGCCACACATCATCCCAACTAAGGCCCATTTATTGCGTTCTTTGAACCCCTCCCTAGGCCCTCCATGTGCGGGCTCTGTGTGTGGTGAGATAATGTTTCATTGTGTGACATTCTTTTTTTTTTTGCGATGGGACTCTGTCGGTTTGCCCTTTTGTGGGGTTAACTTGTTGATGATTGATAGCAGAAACAGGATTTAAAAGGGGTGTTTCTGTGTGCGATGGGAATGTCCTTGAACCGAGTGCTGCCGAAATAAATAACAAATACTCGTAAATCGAAAATGAATAGAATCACGTAAAGGAATTGGAAATTGGCGAGTGGCTTGGCTTTAAATATTAAGCAGCAGCTGCTACGTATTTATATTCAAAGCTTCCTTTTGCATTTCGTTTCATTTGCTATTAAAAGTAATTTGCTCATCTGTTGAAGTGCATTTAAAATATTTAAGTTATTAAAGAGGAGAACCAATTTATTCTTATATTGTCTTATTTGTACAACTTTAAGACGTGGAACTTTTTAATGTTAATTGATTGGAATATCGACAGACCTTCGTTGTTTTTAAACGAATACACATTCAGGATAATCGCTTATAATGAGTTTATCCAATATTGTTTAATCGCAATAACAATTTAGATTATATCATTCTTATGTTTTTACGAAACGCTTGAGTTTCATTTAACTAACTTTCTTTGTAGTGATTAAACTCGAGCTTTAAAAAACGAATTAAACTGTTATGCCTCCTCGTTATTTTCCGAATTGTTTTCACTGTAAGGTGTGCATTTATCCCCCTTGGAGACTCATTGGATATCTCATTGCTCGAAAAGCTCAGCTCGCTCCAGGAAAACCCCCGGCGGTGAAGTCTGTTTGCTAAAATATGTAATGTCGCGTTGGTTTATCCACTGGCCAATGGATTGTCGTGTTTGCGTCTGGTTTCTATTTTTAGTTTTCGCGTTTTATTTTTAGACAAGCAGACATTATTTAGTTGTACATATACATACATCCATATGCACACACACGTGGAGCGACAAACAACTTCGACTGAAAAGTGCAAAACAGGCGGTTCCACGCCCATAAATAAATGCAACTGCAACTTGTTGCGTCGCGGTGAGAAGGGGAAATGCTGGGAAAAAGTGGGGAGCGCAGCCAAAGAGAGGCACTGAGAGAGCGCGAGGGAGAGAAAGAGAGGCCAAAGACAGCGAAGAAAAGAGCGACCCACGTTGCGGCTACGCGATATTTCTGTTACACAACTTGAAGCTGCTTGTTTGTTTATTTGTTGATTATAACTGAGTTCTCTGTCTGTCTCGCAGTGACCATTCTCTCTCTTTCTCAGCTTGGGGCTCTCCGGCTTCTTTCCACATACACACTTACGTATAACGTTAAACGTTTTATCACGTCTTTCCGATTCGTTTTCTTATATTTTCTTTGATATGTGATTCTATTTTTAGCCCCAATCTTTGGCTCTCTGTTTACTTTATAAATATTTAAATTGTTGTCACGTACGAAGTTCTTAATAGGTTACGTTATGTGTTTATTTAACTCATTTTGATTAGAAGTCGAGAAAAAGTACAGCGGAAACACGCGCGCCGTGAACTCGTCCTATATTTTTAGTTCCCGTTACAAAGTTCAACTTTTACTCTTTAAATTTGCTTTTTTTGTTGTTTTTTTTGTTGGCGGAGCGACCCGGCATAGCCGGGCCGAAAGGCAAATAAACAACAACAACCACAACAAAGCCAAAATCCCCCACGCAGATGTTCTAGTCTTTCAAATTAATTGTTTACTCAAGTGTAATTAGGTAACCGAAATAATAAATAAACAAATATGGACACATCAACACACACACACACACTCACGCCCTCGGGGTAAATACGTATTCATAATTAAATAATTTTTAGTGTCATTATTTAACTCTGCATAAACTAGAAAGCTAATTTGGTTAGACTTTACCAGCTGTGCAAAAGTTTCGACTACAAAAAAATAATAAACTGCGTATTGGAATTTCAGAAAATTAGTTCAGAATGAAAACTTGGCTTGTATTGAGTTTAAAGTTGATAAAGTGACTTGCAGAAAGTGGAAGCTGCCTAAAGAAAACTGAACTCAGAAGTCTACATCTGAGAAAGTAATTATCAGAAAATCACACTTAATCTGGTAGCTCTAGCGTTTAAAGTCACCGAGATATGTTGTCTCAGACGGCTAAAAAAAAGTAATTATGGCACTTTGTAGAGTCAGAGATGCCCCATCTGCCTGGCCCAAAAACCGTACATTGAGTTCGTTATTTATTAGTTGATGGTCTATTATAAATTTATGAATTTCATTGTCTGAAGGCCCAAAGATATAAATTAGGTTATTGTAAACTTGGAATTTAGATCCTGATTGCTCCCTGAAACAGGTTCTCCTAGTCTCCCCGAACGTTGGGAATGTGCACTGGAAAGAAATACAGTAGCCCGATAATTAGTTTCAAGACCTTGGAGTTTTCATCTTGACCGATTTCTTCATCTCTCCAGCGATCTTCCGAATAGCTGGGGGATAGCGCTTGGACATCCCGGGCTGCGAACTGAGGAAGGAAATCTCGAAGAGCGAGGGCCGGCTGGAGTAGACGTTATGCAGCATGCTGACGAACCAGAAGAGCAGGTCGTCCATATTTTGCAGAGTGCACTGGGCAAATACGGCACCCGCATCTCGTCCGTGTTGGTGCGAGTCGAAAAGGGCGACGATTGATGCCCGGAAATCGAAGGTCACCATCACCGTTCGACTGTCCGCGATTATGGCGGCGAACAGGTGCGAGGGCGAGCCTGTCTTCTGGAATACTGGCAGCGTCGCCTGGAATAGCCGCGACAGCTGCACGGCCACGTTCCTATTGTACATCGGATTGGTGGGATCGGCTTCCATGTGCGTGTAAAACCACTCCTCCAGCCGAAAGTTCATTTTGTGCTGCGAGCGAATGGCCGCTATTGCGTCGGGAATGTTTAGGTTGATGTTCCTGGCCTGTGGCGTGTTGACGGTGATCACATTGTGGTACACGTTATTCCCGTCGTTCATCGCGTTCCCAAAGAGCTCCCATCCTCGCATCGGCAGGTCGGAAACCCTGTGATAGAAGCGCTCCGCCTTGTCCACCTTGTCTGCCAGGATCAGGGATACCAGCGTACAGGAGTTGGTTCCACTCTGCTGAAACTCGCCAAAGCGCGACTGGCAGAAATCGCGCGGGAACCACCAGATGTTGAGGTTGTCGATCTGCTCGTGGATGGCCATGGCCCTGGAAGATTTGCAGGTGGTGCTCGCAATCCCTCGGTGTCGAACCCTAAGATTACGACTCCGTCTTCCAATCCTGCTCTTGCCGATCCTGCTGCTCCTGCGGCCCAGTGGTAAACCCGGCCCTGTCCCCAGTTGGCCGCTATCACATAATTCACGCCTGTAATAACTTTTCGGCCTTACAGCGAGGGAGTTGATGCAGATCGGTATCAGGGGACTGCCTCCTGCGGCAGCAACTGGCTCACTAACTTGGAATCGGGCCAGGGTTCTATGTGAAACTCCTCTCCAGTACACTCTCGCGGGATGAACGGCCTCTCGATTTCAAGCAAACATTGAATTTTTAGTGTCTTTCGCCGGAGGAGTGTTAGACGGGTAACGAGGGAATTTTCAAGTCGGAGAAACAAAAATTTTTTAGACCAACAACTGACAAAAAACGGACATGATGTTAGATTTGAGACCAAAAGGAATCTGATCATTTATCAGAGAAAGTCGGACGCAAATTGAAAAGCAAATGCTTGATTCATTTTTCAATTTAACAATGAATTTGACTTGTAAACTACATATAATATAATTATAATTATATTATGAAGCTTCTAAACAGTAAATTGAGCATTACCTAGCGAGTATGTATTTGGTTTTTGCCTATGCTCGGTTGCAGCAGAGTATAAGGTTATGACAACTAAGTCAAAATTAAAAGTGCATCCTACAGGCCAAAATGGACTGATTAAACATTTGTAGGCCACATAAGCTGATGATCAAGCTTAGTCAACTTGGCCATGTCGGTCGGTGCGTGCGAAACACGAGATTTTAAATACTATTCTAGCAAACATGGGTTGAAATTTTTTAATAAGGATAAGAATACATTGTAATTTGTACAGAAGTTTTATAGCATTTTAGTGAAATCGGATGATAAGCATCACCAGTGTTAAAATTTGTCTACTGGCACTTTAGAGGGTTAGCCGGTTTTTTTTATACCCTTGCAGAGTATTATAATTTTGGTCAGAAGTTTGTAGCGCAGAGAAGGAGGCGGTTCCGACCCTATAAAGAATGTATATTCTTGATTAGCATCAACAGCCGAGTCGATCTAGCCATAAGCCTAATTAAAAAATTTAAATATAAAATACTGATGCTTAGTAGCTGAGTCTGGCTAATCTAAATGATATTTGAAGGCTCGCTTTAAACATTTAATTATAGTTTTTTTACACATGTATATTTATAGCGTCTTAAATGATGAATAAATACATATGTATTCTCGTTATTGATACGCTTTTTGAATGTGATTTCCCAGTGTTAGTCCGTTATTTAATTACTGATGTTTGTTTGTTCTTTAGTCCCTAATCCGAATTCTGGGAAGTGTATATTTTTAATTCCGTCGCACTCCAACTACATACATACATAAAACCTAGCAAAAACTTGTGTTCTTCTTGGAAACGCTTTTCGCATTGTGTCTAAATGCTTCTCAAATATTTAACAGTGGCGCCCAAAATAAGCCAGACTGGCCAAGAAGTTCTAATTTTAAAGTGCAACATTGGAAAAAGAAACAAAAATAAATCCAGGAAACAAATACATAACTATGTACATACATACTTATGAGAAGTGTGTCAGATATGCTAATTTATGATGGCGTAAGCATTATGGCGTTTTTTGTTGATTGAGATTGGGGAACGCGAAAAATTGTTGGCTAATGCGGATCGGCAAACTCGTAGATATCTTGGATATCTTGAATTTGTATGCCAATAGGGATTGGCCAAAGCTAGGATCATTAATTAAATTCACTTTGCTAGCATTTTGGTCAGCATAAGTTAATAAATGCAACTAGTTTGCTGAAAGTTCAACTTAACCCGTCATGAAAGTTAAATCTGTTAAAATTTCGCTCTTATTTTGCATGGCCTTTGCATTTCTTTTATGCTTTTAATTAAATTTACACGTGAGTCAGTTAAAAAACGATGTCGAAGAACGATGGACAAAGTCATCATCCATCCAACCACCCAGTTCTGTAATTCAATCCCGGCGAATAAGCTTTCCCGCCAACACAAACAATCAGGACAATGGTTAAAATCTGTGAAGGGAGGGAAATGTTGACGTGGGCAGGATAATGGCAGACAAATACAAGGATAAAGTAGCCAGCGATATATATTTAATACCTCAAACAAAATTGCATAATGACAAAATCAACGCATGCATAATTAATAATAACAAGCAGTGCACACAACACTGCGGGGACAACGTGGGAGGATAAATAGAGCTGCTGGATGGAGATGGCTTCCCCAGTAAGCCACTTATGAAAGACTGGCCACTGGCACATGGCAAAGGACTGAAACGACTGTAAAGGTAGAGGAACATAGGGAAAACCCATATTAGTTATATAATAAAAATTAAAATTAATTAGAAATTTTTTTAATTGTGAAAGTAGGATAATATCAGCGGATAAGATTTTAATTATTAATTTTTTCTTGGCAGGTTGCGATGAAGCAGCCAACTCTCTTGGGCTCACTATTATTTAATTTTGTTCTATTTTTATTTCGTCATTTAGTTAGAAATTGTTGGAGCTCGTTTTAATTGCAAAAAAATGTTTGAGTTGACCATTCCAACATTTGACATTTGCTTGCGTGGGTACTTGCCTGGCATCCTGTTTCTGGAGCACTCCAACGTCAGTTTTTTCTTCGACATCCTTGCCATTTCACTGTAGCCCCAGCTTATTGCTAGACTGAGAACAAAAAGCACAACATTCATTTGGCAATTTAAATTGAGATTATATCAAATTGTATTCTTATATAATACAAATCGTATTAATCTCATAGGAAGAATGGAAGTTGCTTATTTTCTTCTTGGGGCATCCCTTCCAAAGATTTCAAATTAAGTTGCATTGCAATGTGCCAGGGACAAGTAGTGTAGAAAAGGATATGTCTAGATCGAATCGGCTGTTGATGCAGATGAAATTATATTGAAATAAGTATACCCTCTGCGTTTCTTTTCGATATGGTGCCTTTATTTTTCTCTCTGTCCTGGTCAGTGGTCTGCTTCTTTGTCAGTTCGTTCATCTGAATCAAGCCAAGTGTCTGAAATGCGTTCGGGATGCTGTTTTCTATTTGTGTTTGTCTTTGTCAAACATGCATTTTTATTATGCAAAGGACGTCCTCGTCGTTTTCAATTGCATCCCCACTTAGCCCCGGTCCTGGTCTTTGTCTAATCCCTGTGCTTTTTCTCCTATTTGCAGTGTGAGACTCTGTTGGAACCCATAGGCGTCGCGCTGAACGGCCCCCGGCCTAAGGGGCCATGACGCGTTGGCCCTTTAATCTACTTCTCTTGCTGTCGGTGGCGGTACGCGACTGTAGCAATCATCGCACGGTTCTCACAGTTGGCTACCTAACGGCTCTCACTGGCGACCTCAAAACGCGCCAGGGGCTGGCCATATCCGGCGCCCTGACAATGGCCCTGGATGAGGTAAGAATTGGAGGTAATTTAGATTTAAGTAATGAGAAGTGACTAAAGAATAGTTAAAATATTTGAATATAATTTAAGGTGTTTGACAAGGTATTTTTCCCTCCGAAGTTGAAGTTATAAAAAACCTATTTTTAGATTATTTTCTTATTGGATCTTACTAGTTTCCCTTATATACAAGTTGTAGTGAAACACTTCAATTTTTTTTTCGATGGCAGGTCAACAAAGATCCCAATCTGCTGCCAAATGTGACGCTGGACCTGCGCTGGAATGACACCAAGGGTGACACGGTACTGGCCACCAAAGCCATCACCGAGATGATATGCGATGGCATCGCCACCATTTTCGGGCCGGAAGGACCTTGCTATGTGGAGGCCATCGTCTCACAGAGTCGCAACATTCCAATGATTTCCTATGTACGTATTTTGAGCCCGACTCGATTCGCATCTGCTATTTCACCCTTCCATGGTCACAGACACTCTCATGCAACATATTTTTCATACAACTAAATTGTAAATTTCTGGTTTCATCATCGTACTCTTTTTCCTTTTTGATAGAAATGTGCAGAGTACCGTGCATCCGCCATACCGACGTTTGCCCGCACCGAACCGCCAGACACGCAGGTGAGTAAACAGGTAGCAACAGGTGGCCAAGATGGGTGGGCAATGGAAAGTGGGAGCTCGGGAAGATAAAATGCTTTGCCTAGCCATCCTTGCGGTGTCTGTGTCGCTTGGCAGGGCGAGCTATTTAGCCTTGGCTTATCCTCAAACCGAGAATAACAAAAGGCAACAGGAAGAATGCAAAGGAAACCATAAGGATGTTTAAGGGGGGATATACATGTAAACCAAATTTTTTTTTGGCAAATTTTTTTTTTGTTTAAAAAGTAGTTTATTACTTAAAGAATATACTGTGTAAGTTTCATCATTGAATTCCAACTTTAAGTGCCTCAAATTAAGTATGCAAGCAAAGTATACAAGTGTTAACGTGGGCGCATCAAAAACTTTAAACGTCTTTTTCTCAGCTTTAAATTTGTGAATTTTTATACCCTTGCAGGGTATTATAATTTCACTCAGAAGTTTGCAACGCAGTGAAGGAGACGTTTCCGACCCTATAAAGTATATATATTCTTGATCAGCATCAACAGCCGAGTCGATCTAGCCATGTCCGTCTGTCCGTCTGTCCGTCCGTCTGTCCGTCCGTCTGTCCGTTTCTACGCAAACTAGTCCCTCAGTTTTAAAGCTATCTGAATGAAACTTTGCATATAGTCTTCTATATACTCTCACTGCTATATATGTCGGAACGGGCCGGATCGGACGACTATATCATATAGCTGCCATACAAATGTTCGATAAATTTTTAGAAAAAAAATTTTAACTTGGCTGTTTTTCAATATTATTCCATCATTTTTGATATATAGCCTTTTTATATTATTCCAGAATTTTGGTAAAAATTTTATGAAAATCGGACCACTATATCTTATAGCTGCCATAGGAACGATCGGGAAATTAATCAAAAAAATTATAACTTCGTTGTTTTTCAACGTATTTTAATCTAATTTGAAACATGAGCTTCTGGTATTATTTCAAAATTTTGGTAAAAATTTTATGAAAATCGGACGACTATATCTTATAGCTGCCATAGGAACGATAGGGAAAGTAATAGAAAAAATTATAACTTCGTTGTTTTTCAACGTATTTTCATCTACTCTGAGATATGAGCTTTACTTATTATTATAGAATTTTGGTATACATTTTATGAAAGTCGGACAACTATATCATATAGCAGCCATAGAAGCGATCCGCAGATGTAGAGAAAATGTAAAGCTGGGAATGTATAACTGTAACTGTCAAACTGTAAACATAATAAGTATAGGTAAAATGGTATGTAACTCAGTTTAGTGTCTGTTTTCGGCATTATAATTTATGACATAAATATGAAAACCAATCTGCAAGGGTATACAAACTTCGGCGTGCCGAAGTTAGCTTCCTTTCTTGTTTCCTATGCTATGGACACGATTCACAAAAAACTACGTAACATATCAGAGTGAATCAAATTTTATTATGATCAGCATGAAATTATCTTCTATTTGAACTTACATGGTTGTTATAAAACTGAGTATTACTATTTTTTAAGAGGGTGGGAAGTGAAAACTGATCACCTGAAAATGACATTTTTTCCTTAAAATCAAAATTTAATTTTTTTGTCTTGATTTCTTTTTGATTTTTTAGGTTCAAATAGAAGATACAGGTGTAGTAAATACAAAAAAATTTAGTTTACGGATTTTGGACAGGAATTACGAGCTCTATCGTGTCCATAGCACGGCAACTTAAAGCTCGAGGCGCTACGGCATATGTTCCATAAATCCGCCATTTTGTAAAATATTGTTTATAACTAATTTTTTTTATCATCTCTGATTCTACTGTTAACTATATCCAAAGTTTCACGACGATTGCTTGACTATTTCTTATAAAAAAAATTTTACGAAAAATGGCCAAATTTTGACCGCTTACATGTATATCCCCCCTTAAATAAAATAATGTGGCGTAAAACCAGAATAATGAATTCGTTGTGTTCACAGTATTTTCTAAATTCTGAACTATTAAATTCAAATCGTGTTTTTATAAAATTATAATAGTTAATAAACATTACTAAAGACGGTCTTAAGAAAAGGAAATTAAATTTGGTGTTGACAGTGTTAATTCATTTTAATCAATTATTAAAAATTGCTTACTAGAATCATTTTGTAAATATTTAAATAAAATATATTTAAATCAAGCTAAATCAATACCTCAGCAAGTAGTTAAGCATGGTCAATAAATATATTCACTGTAGTTTTGTTTGTTATGTTATGTTTTGCTTTACAACCTATTATATTATATTATTATATTATTTTTTGCGGTTAACTTCTCAACACCCATAGGCTTAAAGTCAATGCAAACTATAAATATATGTACATACATTCATTCGTACATATGTATGTACATATGAGCTGTTTACGTACGTTCCTCGTAATCCTTTGGTATTTCTCTTGATACACATCTTATATGGTACACGTCACATTTCATATTTTTCAGGTCGTCAAGTCACTGATTGCCCTGTTGCGCTATTATGCGTGGAACAAGTTCTCTATTTTGTATGAGGACGTCTGGGCTCCCGTGGCGGATCTGCTTAAGGATCAGGCAATGGAGCGGAACATGACCATCAACCACAAGCAGTCCTTTATAGACAATCGGGCCAAATGCTGTGAGAAGTTTATGGACTGCTGTCGATCTGGATATTGGTATCAGGTAAGTTCTTAGAAGAAATTTGGATTGGATATATGTAAATACAAAAATATAACAAAAGTAAAGTATCTGATGGAAAATATAGTTAAGCTTGATTTATCCATTTTTTTAAATATCAAAAAATGTTGCATTCAACGTTGGAATATCGATATTATAGAATCATATTGATCCGTTGTATCATAAAGATATCGAAACCATAATACATCGATATATACATACATGATATATGATTTATATACATATATGTTAATTTTAGTAGATTTACCTAGAATATTTCTAAAATTTGAAACACAGTTATAAACCTAATGAATTGTATTTCTCACAGCTGGTGCAAAACACGATGAACCGCACAAGAATCTACGTTTTCCTGGGTCAGGCTAATAGTCTGGTGGACTTTATGAGTTCCATGGAGACCGCTGGATTGTTTGCTCGTGGCGAGTACATGGTGATATTTGTTGACATGATGGTTTATTCCGAGAGGTAATTTTTTCAACTAAATATATTACCATACTTGACGAAGTTGGGCATAATATCTATTACTCGCCAAATCGCACAAATCACTTACAAATGATCAAACTTGATTCCAGGGAGGCGGAGAAATATTTGCGGAAGGTAGATCAAATAGCCCAAATGTCCAATTGCCACAGCACAGAGAATTTCAACCAACTGGCCCGTAGTCTGCTCGTCGTTGCCTCCACACCGCCAACTAAAGGTTACGCCCAGTTTACCGAGCAAGTGGAGAAGTACAACTCGAAGGATCCGTTTCATTTCGATATTCCAAAACTATTCGTTGACAGTAAATTTACAAAGGTAAGAAGCAAATATTTAAGAATAAGAGTAAAGTGAATACTAAACCACTCGTTAATTCGGTGCAAAACTGGACACTTTTCAAAAATTTGTTGTGTCGAAACAGCTAAAGTTAGCTTAATAAATTAAATACCATTTTATTACTCAATTTTAAACCATTTTGCGTTAAAAGTTGTATTAAAATATATTTAGAGCTATAGGAGTAATAAGTATTCTCCCGAGTGCTCTCCCAGAAATGTTGGCTCGCGGTGTACATCCAACTGCCCACAGAATCATCCGATATCAAAAAATTTATTGGATTCGTCAAAGTATAAGGGACCTGAGGTACTCACATGGCGTTTTTATTATTTTAAAATTTTTATCAAAATTGGAATTTAAAATATCGGTTTTGACTCACAAATTAAGTTACTTTCTTAAATAAAAAATATACTAATTTTACAAATTAAAAAAAGCCCAACGTTAGTACCTTTAAAAATAGTTAAAGAAGTTATGTACCAAATGGAAAAAAAGGATTTTTAGATTTTGAGTTATAGTGAACACCAACTTTTAAAATAGCATTTCAGGAAAGAGCATTAAACTGTTTGATACTTGTACATTGAACACCAAACGACCTTCGTTTAACTACGAATAACTTCGTCAATTTTGCCACGATCGATGTCAAACTTTGACAAGATATTGGACATTTATTCTAAAAAGAATTGAAAATAAAAATTAGGAAAACTACTAAATACCCCTTACACCTTAAGTGATTTGTTAATTATTAGTAAAGCTATTAAAATTCTTAAAATAAAAAGATGAATAGCGTATAAATAGATTTATTTTATTAAATTGTAATTCCTTGGACTTTCAGTTTATATCCATCTATGCCGCATACCTTTACGACTCTGTGAAGCTTTATGCTTGGGCTGTGGACAAAATGCTTCGCCAGGAGACGCGAGTACTGACCGATGAAGTGATCTTTGAAGTGGCCAGCAACGGCACTCGAGTCATCGATACCATTATAAAGAATCGTACTTACATGAGTGAGTTTTAGCCCGTTGAAATGAAGAAGGGTCCTCAAAGTCCACATCAAATTCCTTTCTACTTTTCCCGAAGGCATCACTGGATCTACGATTAAGATTGATCAGTACGGCGACTCGGAGGGCAACTTTTCAGTCCTGGCCTACAAGCCTTACAAGTGGAACAACTCGAACGGCATTGCTTGCAACTACCACATGGTTCCCGTAGCGTATTTCCATCAAGGCGAAGAACTTCCAGTGAGTGAGTCGTCTTCTCTTTTTTAGTTCGCCTTTCTTTCAATTGGTTCCCGCTTATATTGCTGGCCCCAAACACAACACCAATCTAAACTCACCAAGTTTCGATAATTTCCTTGTGCACGGCAGGAGTACAAGCTCATCAACGGCTCCATAGACTGGCCCTCAGGCGGCGAGAAGCCCACAGATGAACCTATGTGCGGATTTGCTAATGAGCTGTGTAAAAAGGACGACACCCACTACACATCCACTGTGGCCGCCGTTGTCCTGGGCGTGTTGCTCTTTTGCTCTGGGGTGATCACCATGAGCATCTACCGCAAGTGGAAAATTGAGCTGGAGATCGAGGGTTTACTCTGGAAAATTGACCCGAACGAGATTAAGGGTTATTCCGGCAACGAGATTGTCTCATCACCCAGTAAGGTAAGTAAAGACAATACAAAGAACGTTTAGTTCTACTAAGGTATATAAGTTATTTATTTATAAGTTAAATAGTTTATTTCTTACTCTCAGCCAACAAGCAAATGTAAAAAACAATAGGTTTTAGCGCTCGCACATAGGGATGATATATCGATGTTGAGTCGATATATAAATCGTTTTTAAAACAGATATGCGCGATAAATCATTGATATATCAAACTGTGCCAAAGAAGATACTAAGCTTAGTTAAAACTCTTTTTGTTAGAATAAAACATGTAATAAACAAAAATGTAATAAATAAAATAAAAATAACCCGCTCTTAGTTCATTAAATAAGATTCTAATTGATTTAAATCCCCAGGTCAGTTTAATGAGCGCCCAGAGTTATGGCTCTCGCTGGACGAACCAGTTTGTGACCTCCTCGGGTCGTCTGCGCGGCGCTGTGGTCCGCATCAAGGAGCTAAAGTTTCCAAGGAAGCGTGACATTTCCAGGGAGATTATGAAGGAGATGAGGCTGCTGCGAGAGCTGCGTCACGACAACATCAACAGCTTCATTGGCGCCAGCGTGGAGCCGACACGCATTCTGCTAGTCACCGAATACTGCGCCAAGGGCAGTCTGTACGACATCATCGAGAACGAAGACATCAAGCTGGATGATCTTTTCATTGCATCACTCATCCACGACCTCATCAAGGTGGGCAGAAATAAGCTGACTGAATGGAGAACAATGCGTTCTAAAACGAGACTGACTTACTCCATTGCAGGGCATGATCTACATACACAATTCCCAACTGGTTTACCACGGCAACCTTAAATCCTCGAATTGTGTGGTCACCTCGCGCTGGATGCTCCAAGTAACAGATTTCGGGTTGCATGAGTTGCGCCAGTGCGCCGAGAATGAGTCCATTGGAGAGCACCAGCATTATCGAAGTTAGTGTTTCCCTCTCTATCTCGTTTGGGAAAATATTCATGTAATTTCTCACGCTTCCAGATCAACTGTGGCGTGCTCCGGAACTGTTGCGTAACCATATCCACGGCAGCCAGAAGGGCGACGTCTACGCCTTTGCCATCATTATGTACGAGATATTTAGTCGTAAGGGTCCCTTCGGACAAACCAACTTTGAACCAAAGGAAATTGTAGACTACGTTAAGAAGCTGCCGCTCAAGGGCGAGGATCCGTTTCGGCCGGAGGTGGAGTCCATTATAGAGGCAGAATCCTGTCCAGACTACGTGCTGGCCTGCATCAGGGACTGCTGGTCTGAGGAGCCCGAAGAGCGTCCCGAATTCAGTGTCATACGGTAAGGAGTTCACTTAATGTAACTTTAAAAACGAAATAATTAAATAATTGATTTACACAGTAATCGATTGAAAAAGATGCGCGGCGGTAAGACCAAAAATATCATGGACCAAATGATGGAAATGATGGAAAAGTACGCCAATAACTTGGAGGACATTGTCAGCGAGCGTACGCGTCTCCTGTGTGAGGAGAAGCTAAAGACGGAGGATCTGCTCCATCGAATGCTGCCGCAATCGGTGGCCGAGAAGCTGACCATGGGCCAGGGAGTTGAGCCGGTGTCCTATGATTTGGTAAGGAACACGAATAACAAGCAAGAAATTCAGCCAACTAAAATATATTGAAAAGAAGCAAAGTTATAATTTGTATATACAAAATTTCCTATCAGACATGACTCCTTCCCTGCGTTGCAATAACTGAGATGAAATTATAATACCCTGCAGGCATATCAAAAGGAAACATCAATTGAAAACTAAACATTCTAACTTTTTGTTATTTTTTCTAGGTTACTATCTATTTTAGCGACATTGTTGGCTTCACAGCAATGTCGGCGGAGAGCACACCGCTGCAAGTGGTGAACTTTTTGAATGATCTCTACACGGTGTTCGACCGCATCATACGCGGCTATGATGTATATAAGGTGGAGACGATAGGCGATGCCTATATGGTGGTAAGTATTGGGACTTGCGGAAACGGAACGTAAAGCTTCAGGTTGTATTCATTAATTGTTTTTTTTTTTTTTTTGTTAGGTCTCGGGTCTGCCCATTAAGAATGGGGACCGTCATGCCGGCGAGATAGCGTCGATGGCTCTGGAGCTGCTTCAAGCTGTGAAGCAGCACCGCATTGCTCATCGTCCCAACGAGACGCTGAAGCTGCGGATCGGGATGCACACGGGTCCGGTGGTAGCCGGCGTGGTTGGCCTCACAATGCCGAGGTACTGTCTATTTGGGGACACGGTCAACACAGCTTCGAGGATGGAGAGCAACGGCGAGGCGCTGAAAATCCATATTTCGAATAAGTGCAAGCTGGCGCTGGACAAGCTGGGCGGCGGCTACATAACCGAGAAACGCGGCCTAGTAAATATGAAGGGCAAGGGCGAGGTGGTCACGTGGTGGCTAACCGGAGCCAACGAGAACGCGATACAAAAGAAGCCGGTGGACATGATGGACATGCCGCCTCCGCTGTTCAGTCGTCCGCGAAAAAGTCCCAAGCTGAATCCCGACTCTCGGCAGCCCAGCATCCAGGCCATGCACTTCTGCGGCACCGGATCGAGGCGTCAGAGCAGTGTGCCTAGGCCTGCGGACCTGGAATCCACCTACAGCCTGCAGGGGTCTGTGCGGGACTCGCCACGCATGGTCAGCAAAAGGGACAGGGATCGGGAGCGACCCTCCATCAATGGTTTGGGCTTGGGAGGACACTTTGTGGGCGGAGCACTCCTCGAATCCGCCCAGCCTTCGCTCAGCACACTGAATCATTCCGAAACAAACGAAACGAACTGTGATATGGATGGGGGATTGGGAGGAGGAGTGTCGGGATCAGGATCTGGATCTGGATCTGGACTAGTTCGTCAGCCCAATGCGCTGCACAAGCCGTTGGCCATGGTCCGTCCGCACCGGATAATCAGTGCCGCCCAGTTACCGCAGCTGGGCGACCACGAGGATGACAACACCGCAGAGATGCTGTTGCGCGAATCCCGTTCCCTGGACCCCATGCCCATGCAGCACCTGCGAAAGCGGCACGACAGGGTCAAGCTGCCGCCCTCTAAGCTGTCGAAGAACAATTCGCGATCGCTGGACACAGGCGTATCGCTGATCAGTGGTAATCCCAACGGCGAAGCAGAGACGACGAGTCAGGATATGGACATGGATGACGAGATGTCCGCCAATCCGGTCGATGCCAACGATGGCTACGACGATGAGCTGGGCCTACTTATGCGCCACGACAACGGACAGCTGCCCTCGCTTCGTTATTCGGGCAGTTTTCCAAGTGCCCAAGTCAGCATTGTTCCTGCAGGAGGAGGGGGTGGTAGCAGCAGCTCCGGAAGAACCAACTGTGGCAAGCACCTGAACAACAACTGCAACGGCGGCGTGAACATAGAGGATGATCTGGAATCGCCGCTGCTTCAACGGCAGGCATCGCTCTCGGTTCCTCCGGAGGAGATGCTGGCGCACAACAAGCGCTGGCATTCCTTGGAACACATGGATGGACCCGGTGGCCATGGCGGCAATAGCGTGAGCTACGCCGCCGACATTGAAAACCGCCAACCTGGAGGCAGGGGTCTGGACTTTCTTAGCGGATCATCCTCCAGTCCCCAGCACAGAAATAGAGCCGGGGGCAGCAGCAAACTCACCAACTGGATGTCCAACTTTTTCAAGGGCAACGGCGTGCGCAGTGGCGAGGCTAGGCGAGTGGGAATCCTGCCCAGCGGTGTGCAGGGAGCACGAACCGGATTCACTGACATGGCGGCGGCGGCGGCGTCGGCAACCCGGGATCGTGAGAGTATAGTGTAGAAAATAGCGAGAAAGCGGAGTTATAACTATGATAGGAGGAGCGTATAAACCAGCACGAAGGCTGGAGAGGAGGAGGTGGTAAAGTTACTCAGGAACCGTGTCGAGCAGGAAACGATCGTCTTTGGCTTATTTCTTTGTATTTTATGTAAATGTATTGTAGTTTGTATCGATCGAACGATTTGTGTGTTTGTGTCTGAGATTCTCCTTCACCCATAGGCCTGAGGAAGAAGCCTGTTCTGAATCAATTTGCTTTGCAGTTGCGCGATTTTATGTCTTGTGGAAATCCAACTAACCCTATAGAAATCCAAATAAGTCCTGCGATTTGGAAGATATACCACGTATGCCAATGCTGAAGCGCAACTAATTATTAACCTAACTCTACATTGGAGATATTTGATAACGGTACAAGCATACACATATTGGAGATATTTGATAACTCTACATGCATGCACATATTGGAGAAGCCGAAAAAACCGTCTAGTCACAAGGTCTTCAGACTAGTAATTGTTTTATATAAAATATACACACCCACACATCTAAATGTACGTTTGTAAATGTAACACACACACACATATTTATGTATATGACGACGAAGAATCAAAATCAAATATTTTATGTAAATGAAGTCAAAATTTTTGCTTTCTATACAAAGGGATGCACAGCAAATAAAACATAAAAAGGAATACAAATTATGCTTAATACAGAAACTAGTTAATTTATATATGTATGTATTGGAAAAGAAAACTGAGGGGGAGAAATGTAATGTATCGATGTGTATCAATGCTAGTATATAATTAGGTGCGCGTGATTGTACGTAATTTTTAAGTCCCTACAACTAAAAGCATAATTTTAATGAACTAAATCATTTGAACGAGAAATGTGAGCAGAGAAGTGCCAGAAAAGGCGCCCGCCCGATGTGTGGTGTTTTTTAGCTGTATGTATGTATGTATATTTTTAAAAGAAAATTTGTTAAATTTGCCATATATAAATACACACCAGAACTATTAAAAAAAAGTTACATCTCTTATTGTTTGCTTTCATTTCCAGTCTCTCGTCTCAGTCAGATAAATTGAGAGATAAACTTGTCCAAAAAAGGATTTCAGTCGTCTATAAATTATCTGAACCAAAAGGCGTATATACTGCAAGAGTATACAAACTTTGGGGTGCTGAATTTGATTTTCCTTCTTGAACGATAATTTGTTCAACAAATCAAAGTTTGAAGAAACCAAAACTAAGCCAAAAATTTCAATCCGAGAAGCTCCTCAGTGTTGTCTTAGAAATCTGCATAGTGAATTTAACATTTTAAATAAATAAAACTATGGAAAATTTGTGATAATTTTTTTGTGATTAATTAAAAAAAAAAAAAATGCGATCAATATTTTAGTAATAGATTTGCTTTAACTTAAATTTTAGTCTCTCCTGTTGATTTTTTTTTTCTTTTTAGATAAATTAGAAAAACTTATAGGCATTTTATTTCTACTTTTATATTCTTCAAGGGATGTTAGAAAGCAAGAGTCAAAGCATAATGCATCTGTTTCAAAAGTTGTTATAAAAAGAAAACATGCCATTTTATATTATTATTTTCACCAAAGTAATGAAAAATCCGAGTTTGCATTCGAATATTTTGAAATTCGTTTTATATCTCTCAAATTTGATCAATTGGAGGATTTTCTAAATCTAAATATGTTGAACGAAATCATTATAGAAAACTTTACATTTTTGGTTCCATTAAAACGTTGCAAACTTGTGACTAAAATGCATGATTGCAAAAAGTGGCTAAAAGTTATCTAACATATTTTTGATAACAAATTAATATTAACACCATTTAAACTATTTTAATATTTAACAAATTGAATTGCCATTGCTTTTTTCAAAGTGCGTGTTTCAATTCTGTTAACCATTTCATTCGCAAAATTCTGTTACTCTCTGTATTTAACATTTCATTCGCAATTCTCTATACTTGGTTATGAAAATGCAAATACATTTGAACATTTGTAGCATAAGAAACTGGATATTATAAATATTATTGATTATTATAATTTCTTATGAAGTAAAGGTATGGGGGTATGGTTAATTCCGTACAAAACTAGCCTCCACCTTTCAAAAATTCGTTTCAACCGCCAAAGTGCGACCATGCTGAGTCAAAACAATTTGACCTCAAATATGGGCTGAATTCAGGGCTGCCAACCCTTCATGAAAATAGCTATAAATAGCCAGATATTGTTTGTGTATTTTGAAGTTCGGCAGGACGGTCACTCTGGCGAACAAAAAACAAAGCAATTATCTATCTTTTCGCGTTTTGGTCATTGTTTAATATAATTTCACTGACTAGAGTCGCGCCATAGCCACTAGTTATACATATATTTATTCCCCCTCCCCGTTTGCTTGTTGCGCCTGTGCGGATTTTTCTTTTGCATGTTGAGCGACAGAGCAAAAGAAAGTTTGCACGGAGAACAACAACGCAGGTAGTTTGACCTCGCGACGAAGGAGGAGCACATCGAGATGCAGAACTACGGCTCCGGGGCGGCGGCGGCGGCAGCAGCAGCAGCTCCGGCCGTAAAACGCCGTACCGACAGCTACGAGGCTGCCCAGCACCACCCGCAGTCGCCAGAGAGCGACGAGGAGTATGTAAATACCAGGGTACTGCGGCGGCAGGCGCAGCTGCAGTCCACCCCGGTGGCCCCTGTGGTTCCCATGCCCATGCCTATGCCCAACACTAGTGCTCCCTCTTCCGTGGAGGGGCATGTCGAGCAGCCGGAGTTCCCAGGCTCATCGGCCGCATCATACCAGGAAGAACGGATGCGCCGGAAGCTGCAGTTCTTCTTCATGAATCCCATCGAGAAGTGGCAGGCCAAGCGCAAGTTTCCCTACAAGTTCGTGGTGCAGGTGGGTTTGCCAACGGATCGGATTTCTTCGATTCGCCCATGTTAATTGCAGTCGCGTGATCTCGCTTCCACGATGCGGGGCTTGGGGGCGGACCTCTCGGGTGACACATCATCCCGCAAACCTAGCCAGTGGACTCAATTTACAGACTCGCTTAATCAACCTGCTCCAGGCCCCATTGTTTGTTTAATTCTTAAATGTAAAGTGTGTAGATACGAAGAGGTGGAGCAACCCACTTTAGAGAACAGAGAAGACTCGGTAGAATGAACCTAAGTATCTTAGAAAGTTTATAAACTGTACAAAAGGTCATTATGATAACTTCTTGACGAAACAGACCGCGGGAGGCATCTTTAAGCTGTTGGCATAAGTATACAATGCTATTTAGTCGTCGGGTTTTTAAGAAATAGAGCTACTGTCAATATTCTTAATGGTTCTACACAGTTCAAGTTTACTTTTCAATTTTGCAACCGCTTTTGTTAGATGTTATAAAAAACCTTTACTTAATAATCACCCCTTGGGTTGCTCACTGTATTTTTTGTGCATTGTTAAGCCTGCTCCGCTCTTATCGATGCGTTATCTATAAGGTCTAACTATTGTTAGGTATAGTACGTTATAAACCAGAGGAAACGTCGCGTATTTATTAGGTAGACACTGCGTGTGGGCGCACTTGTACAATTTTTAAGTTATTTAACAGTATGACAAAGGCCTGCTTCTAGGGGATTTTTAGGCATGATTAATTCGAAATGGGGTGGGCACCAAAATATAACGAATTCCCACAACTAAACATGATTGGCCAAAAGGCCGTAGATTTACCTCAGATAAATATAAAAAAATAATATTTGACGCATGCCCTAGCACAGCATAGGTCGGTATTTATTTATAGATAAGCTTTCTAGATCACTGATTGGCCTCCTTTACGTTATGTTGAATGACGCAAAGATTTCTTGCGGGAAGACAGCCTTAAATTAAATTAAAAATTAAATAACAAATAAAATATTCCGTTTAGAAACCAAGTCATACAACTTTCCCCTGTTGTCACTTACAGATTGTAAAGATCTTTCTGGTGACGATGCAGCTGTGCCTTTTTGCCCACTCGCGGTATAACCACATTAACTACACGGGCGACAACCGATTTGCCTTCTCGCATCTCTTCCTGCGGGGCTGGGACTCGTCCCGCGAGGTAGAGAGCTACCCGCCGGCGGTTGGTCCCTTCGCTCTTTACCTGAAATCGGAATTCTTCGACACGGTACAGTATGCCGTCGATGGCTACGCCAATGTCAGCCGGTCGATTGGACCGTATGACTATCCCACGCCCAACAACACGATGCCGCCGCTGAAGCTGTGCCTGCAGAACTATCGGGAGGGCACAATATTTGGGTTCAACGAGTCGTACATCTTTGATCCGCATATCGACGAGGTGTGCGAGTCTCTGCCGCCCAACGTTACCTCCATTGGGGTAGAGAATTATCTGCGACAGCGTGATGTCGAGGTCAATTTTGCATCGCTCGTCTCCGCTCAATTGACTTTCAAGATTAAGACAGTGAATTTCAAGGCTAACGGAGGACCACTGTCAGCTCCGGATTGCTTTCGGTTCGACATAGCCATAATGTTCAACAACCGAGACCACGATGGCCAGATGCTGCTCTCGCTGGATGCGGAGGCGACGCGATTGAAGTGCCACGGAGCCACCGATTTCATTTCGGAGGCCAACTTTGATTCCATGCTGCGCAGCGTTCTCAATATATTTGTGCTGCTAACCTGCGCCCTGTCATTCGCGCTCTGTACGCGAGCCTTGTGGAGAGCTTACCTGCTGAGGTGTACAACCGTCAACTTCTTCCGGTCGCATTTCGGCAAGGAGCTAAGCTTCGACGGTCGGCTAGAGTTTGTGAATTTCTGGTTAGCCAAACAGCATCTAGCAACTCGGTACAAACTCGCTAATACTGAGTCTGTATTTCAGGTACATCATGATCATCTTCAACGACGTGCTCCTGATCATTGGATCCGCGTTGAAAGAGCAGATCGAGGGAAGGTACATGGTGGTGGACCAATGGGACACCTGCTCGCTCTTCCTGGGCATTGGTAATCTGCTCGTTTGGTTTGGAGTCTTACGCTACCTGGGCTTCTTTAAGACCTACAATGTCGTGATACTGACGCTGAAGAAGGCGGCACCTAAGATACTGAGATTCCTAATCGCCGCTCTGCTGATCTACGCTGGATTCGTCTTTTGCGGCTGGCTGATTCTGGGACCCTACCACATGAAGTTCCGTTCGTTGGCCACGACGTCGGAGTGTCTGTTTGCCCTGATCAACGGCGATGACATGTTCGCCACCTTCGCCACCCTGTCCAGCAAGGCCACCTGGCTCTGGTGGTTCTGCCAGATCTACTTGTACTCGTTTATATCTCTGTATATTTACGTGGTGCTGTCGCTGTTCATTGCCGTGATCATGGATGCCTACGACACCATCAAGGCGTATTACAAGGACGGTTTTCCCACCACCGACCTGAAGGCGTTTGTGGGCACCCGCACCGCGGAGGACATTAGTTCTGGTGTCTTTATGGCCGACCTGGATGATTTTGATCAAACCAGCTTTGTCGATGTCATGAGGAACATTTGCTGCTGCTGTCGGCGCTGCAGGCCAGAGCAGGATCCGGTCCAGGCCAACAGCGGCTACACCAGCCTTTCGAGTATTATGAAGTAATTGGTCAACAGGTCGTTCTGTTTTTTGTTTTGTTTTTTCGTGAGCTTTATATGTATGTGTGTAGTCGTCGAACATGTTGTTAGCTTTTTTGTATTAATGTTTCTTAGTTTGCCAAAGCACGTGAACCGAGCAACCCCACAACGGACGTATGTATGTACGTACCTATGAGAAATTCCAAAAGCAGCTTAGATCACAGCAATTCGGGCTCTTCCCGCTTTTCACTTTCACATTGTTTACTATTGCGCCTTGAATTGACTAGCTAATTCAGCATGGATCCGTGCGGAAAATATTACGTTCTGGGAAAGTGAGAGCCGGAAAATGCTCGGAAGAGCTGAAAATTGCGCCAGTAAAGATGGTTTGCATTTGTGACGAAAGATATTAAGTGTGTGATATAAGACGGGAGCAGAATCAGAGAACAATAGAAATTATAATAGGA